GGAAATCCACATTGCACCCCAGAATTTCTGATCAATAATAGGTTCAATAATGTCCATATCTGACAGAAAATGGAATCCATCTGATGACTGGAGAGGCCAAGGCTTTTGGCTTCATCCTGATCATCATGAATTCACCCTTAAATGTGTTTCACAGTGTGTTTTGGAACATAATGAGGGACTAATGTTTGCACCAGAGGGTGCACATGATCCTGTAAGATGGCCTCATAATTCTTGGCTGTTAAACAACAATCCAGAGCAATCAGTCGGCCTAGTGGGTCACTAGAGATGGCAGCCACACTATTATGGATTCTCCGGTTTAACAGCTGGAAATAGACATTGTAGTGTAGGCATCCTTTGGCACCGTACAAACATAAACCCATAGAAATGTAGGAAAACAGGTGAAAAATGATCTATCAGTCCATAATATTTCTGTCCTCAGGAGTTCAGGGTTTGTGCTCTTTATGTACATAATTTATACTGAGTGTCTGTATAGCTTATTTGGGAGCTTTGACTTGTGTCCACAGTTTCTCTTTGTAGGTGCAGTTTGTTGTTTTATGCTGCCATGATTTTTGAAAGCGCGGCATATGGAATAATTTGGCAGTTTTTGTGAGCAATGCACCTGCAGACTGGGCACCACAAATTTGCCACCTTTAAGATGCTGTTTCCCCATGTTGCTTTGAACGCTCAAATAACAAAGTGCTGATTATCAGACCCCTTTAATAGCCGACACATACTTCTAATTGGCATTCAACCTAATATGACTCACCTCTGTAACTGCATTTCTAACTGAGTTTTGCTTCAAAGTTAAAGTCCTTTTTCATGTGGTACCGCTGTTGTTTTGTCCACCCCCTGCACTACTGCACACTTCCTTGAGATACGAGTCGCGTCGCTGGTTTTCAGGTTCTAATTATGTATTACTACTGTACCATTTTTTTGAGAAAAAAACCACTGAAATGCACATACAAGTGTGCACTAAATTGCACAAAATTAGTGGTTAAACTGAATTGCCTGCCGTGTGTGAATAAAGGCAAGGCATGCAGGCCCAGGAAGTCCCACTGCTGCTCTGCACAGGCCATCATGCTATATGATTGACTGTAGTGTGCTGTTCTGTGGTTTTCGCTCATCTGGGACGATGTGTCCAGCAGAGCCAGGGGGCCAATTATACAGCAATAAAAATCACCTCATACACAAGTTTCAAAGGCTCCCAGGAGATTGTGGTAGCAGCGGCTTCCCTTAAATCTAATATGTGGGATCTTTGTTTATTTTAGATTTTTTCCCCCCTTGCCGAAGTCTTTAAGCAACTTTCCAGATTATGTTTTCACATTTAATATGCATGAATGGCAGTTAAAGGCAGCTCTAGCAGAGGAAACTGAAATTACACATTTATGTATTAAGTAATTCAACCCAGATGCTGTTAAAAGTATAAAAGAGGGAAAATATATAACGCAGTTTAAGAAGTGTATGTAGATGGTTATTGATTGACATTTATAGGCAGGAGTTACGAAAGCGGCATCTGAACTACATATACAGGGCATCTTTCCGCCCAGACAGAAGGCCAGTCTTCGTCACATAGATACACTGTGGTCACTTTAAAGGCAACGGCTACCCTGTGGTGTTAGCATGTAGCGCAGCAGGCTAAGCCTCTGTGCCTGTGAGCAGAAGGTTGTTAGTTCAAGCCTGCGGGCCCTTGAGCAAGGCCCTTAGCACCCAGCTCCAGGGGTACTGGAGCTGGCTGCCCTTTACTGCCAAGCTTGTTCTCACACCTACTTGTGTGTCATGAGGGAGCAGGATGAGGTATGTGGAAAGAGAATTTCCCCACAGGGATCAATAAAGTATCATCGTTTCATGCTGTGTTTGTGGGAGAAACCCATGCAAACGCCAAAAGCAGTGAGGTGCTGGCCTTCAAACTCATAACCGTACAGGTATGAGGCAAAAGGGCAACCTACGGAACTGCAAGTCCCTGCTGCTCCAGGGAGGAAAAGGAACTCCTGGTTGTGCTGGCTGGAATTGTTGTCAGCCAAGGGGTAACATTGTTGCCTTGTGACTATCCCAAGCACCCCTGGGGGTTGTCAGTATGATACAATCGTAGGCCATCAAAGAAATGGTTAAAGCTGTTTGTCTGGGATACCTTGTTGGGTAGCTAGATGATACCCTGTTTGGTAGCTAGATGATGCCCTGTGGGGTAGCTAGATGATACCCTGTTTGGTAGCTAGATGAAACCCTGTTGGGTAGCTAGATGATGCCCTGTTTGGTAGCTAGATGATACCCTGTGGGGTAGCTAGATGATACCCTGTTTGGTAGCTAGATGATACCCTGTGGGGTAGCTAGATGATGCCCTGTTTGGTAGCTAGATGAACACCACTTTGGTTCCCAAACCTCTCCTCTGGGGCATCTCAGCCAGTCCATGTATTTGTTTAATTTCACCACTATCTCACTTAATTAATTATATTAATTAGTTTTAAAAAGTAAATTAGGTATAGATTAACCAAACATAGTGTGCTGTTGGTTGAGTCAACAAACACATAGGTATGTTGGATAGTTACTGAAAATACTGGGGTGACTTGGAGAAGTTTTAAAATGGTTAAGTTGACACACTATGACAGACATAAAATTATAGTTTTACACCAACATAAAGATAATTTGCGCATAATTTTCTTTGGCACCCTAAGATTCCTGGCTCCTTATTTTGCAGTAAAACAAAAGGTCCCATTGAATGTTTATGCACTTATTCTATTTTTTATATTATGCCTGAGGTAATGAATCGGCTGGTCATTATAAAATATAAATTGTACCATTAAAATATTTGCACAAATTATTAAGTACAATTCGGGTATCAGTTATGAATATAGCATAATGTGTGAGTTTGCTCTCCTTCTTCGTCTTTTAGTAGCATATACTTACACACAGACACACACACACAGTCGGGTAAACATATCTTTATGGGGACTGCTCATTCATTTCTATGGGAAAAATGGTAACGCTAACTATAACAACCGTAACCTCTACCCAGGCCTAACCATAGCCATTAGTAACCAAGCAAAATGCAAGAGCTTTTGCATTTTTAGTTTTTTCATTGCAGTCATAGATTTTTATTAAATTGAGTTTTTCCATAAGCCAGCGGTGGCCAATCTTATCCGCAAAGGGCCGGTGTGTATGCTGGTTTTCGCTGCAGCTCCCTAGTTAGATTACTAATTAGAGGACTGATTGGCTGAAGAGTCCTCACACCTGGGTTTGAACAGCTGACCTACAGGTTATCCCAAAAACCTACACACATACCGGCCCTTTGCGGATAAGATTGGCCACCGCTGCCTTATGGAAAAAGGGGTATTCATCATGTTGTGGGGACATTGTGTCCCCATGAGGTAAGGTATACCCACTCACACACATACACACACACACACACACATGCAAAAAACAGCTCTCAGACACCTGCAACTTTCTGCCTTCTTTCTCCAGCTGAATTCGCAATCGTTGTGTGTAGGCTTTCCTACTAAATAACCTCTGACATGAGGACCATGGCCTCCTGGCAGGCGACCTTTGACCCCCACAACCAGACCATGAAGTAGCAGTGGTCTGCTCCCAGGGAGAGAGCGTCAGATGCAGATGGTGAACACCCTCCAACCCCCGAGAAACCATCAATAGTAACTGCTGCCTACATTATGTTACCTAATGGCTCCCATTATCATTGTTAATGGAAAAAGAAACAACGAATGACAAGAACACACTCCTAAAAATTTATAAAGAATTATAAGAACGTAAAAAACTTGTAGGGCTCTCACTCAGTAGTCTACCTTTAAGCCTTTGTTCTTGTGAAAATAACTGCGAATTTGTTTACAATTAAGTACTCCTGTTTCATTGTGAATTAAGAGACGATATGTACATTTTTCAAATTCTATAAAGCTGTCTAAGAGAAAGAGTAAGATCTCAAACTAAGGTGATTGTGCAAGGAAAGAGCTGATGTCAAGGACTATACTACTAAGGATTAAAAATGTCCCTTACTTAGATATACATTGATATATGACAGATCCTAATTAGGTCATACGAATTGTTAAATAAAGCATGAAAATCTTGTATAATTTATAATGACATTTTGTTTAAAGAAAATCAGGATTGTTTAAAGAGTAAATGGCTGATAGCAGAAGTCAGAGGCAGATGACTTGGGCTGAAATCTGTACCTGTCAGTGCTTCCATTGCCTGTTTCTAGAAATTAACCTGAAGATCAGAAATAGTCATTTTTCTGCAGTAAAGATTTTTGACGATATGATTTCCCCATAAATGTATCTACATGAGATTCACAAACCAGTTGGATGTTGTACGTCAGAAATGAAAATGGGACCCCATGCAAATATTAGCCATTTTTAAATGTGTATAAGTCCTAAAATGTGCACTCACCTACCCCCCCCCCCCCCCCCCCCCCCCCACACAACACTCCACACGTCCCTGAGCACCTGCATCATTATAAAACTCTTTTGAACTTCAAACTGGATGTCAAATGCCATATGTGGCAGTGCAAGGCAGATGTACTGCAGATGTACTGCAAACTTCCCAGTTCACCCCACCAGCCCCCCCAATACCAATACCAATCTCCATTTCTAAGAAGCTTCCACCGCCAGTCTGCATGTCGAAGAATCCCTGTACACTAATTCTCCCAGAATTACCCCATTGCTAAAGGACAAAGCCGCTAGTAAATTGTATCTCTGATAGGTTTCACTCATAAACTAATTTGCAACACTTAACTCTCTATTCTCAGATTTATCTGAATTCTATGAATGCTGTTCATAAATACTACATTTGTGTGTTTTGTGTTCCCTGAGGTGCCAGATCTCATGCGGATGGTTTGGTCAATGTACTGTCTTTAGTGTCCTCACTGTAGAATATGAACTTTTATATTGTTATATTAAACCTCCTTCCATCCATCCATCCATCCATCCATCCATCCATCCATCCATCCTCTACACCCATAGGACAAACCGCCATATCTGATTAAACAGAAAACAATAGATTTTTCATAATATTTATTTCATATTAAAGAGGTCAACAGACTAAAAAAACAGATATTGCCTTTTCTCATATTTAAACAACCTCTCTACAAGGGATTGCTAAGTAAAAGCTTGGGTTTTGGCCCTTTAGAAGAGCGGCTACTTATTTCCACCAGTAGGTGCCATTAATGTGTCCTACAGCATTTCATGTCGCCCTCTCAACACAGGTAACAAATGAAATATACAGAACACATCACATTTGTCATATGGCCCGGCAGATCAGAAGTCCTGAAAAGTATTGCTTTCCTTTTGTCTGAACAGTCCTCTATAAACCTCCATCACAAAGGCTTTTCCTGTAGATTAACAATGATTACACCCATGTCTGTTCCACTAAACAATTTGGATGTTTAAAATGTGCCAGGGGTCTGGAAGTACTTGAGCAGACACACAGAGCCAGTGTTTCTAAAGGCTCATGAGCTGAAAAAAACCATGAGCAGGGTGACCATGCTATCTGGCTCTCTGGGCCAGGCTAGACCAAGAGGACTCAACTATAAACACTGGAATACTGGCAAAATACCAGAAAATCGAATAAACAGAACTTCTGCAACCAATTGTTTCAGAACGCTATCTGAAAAACCTTTGTTCAAATATGCATTAACAAATTGCGGCAAATTATTTCAATACTACAGTACCTTTACATTATTTTTGGACAAAAAATCTGTCAATTTACCAATATGGCTGCTTTTGGAGTATAAGTGAAACCCAAGATTAAGGGAAAAAAAACCAAAAACAAATAAAGTCCACATAAAAAGCATATAATACATATTTACAGAGTGAGTAATTTAATTTACTTCCATGAAGTAGGGCAGTGGCTTCTTGGTACAATGTCAGTAACACACAGCAAACAAGTAAATGAGTCACTTCAAATTAAAAAAAAATGACCACATGGGCTGCAATAACTTTTTTTCACGTTTCAAAATCTTGTTGACACTGTTGTTGTCAACATCCAGAAGAAATAACAGGCTAAAAACATGATTATGATGTCATAATGTCAATGTTGTAACCATAAGAACAAGATGAAGCTATTAGCAAATGCTGCTGAGGAGAACTGAATGTTCCCTCTTTGGATCAGTGACTCTGCTATTGCTTCGTCAGCTGGCAAAATCCTTAACATTTCTATTGATATTTTGCCCTACCTTTCTTTTACTGCTATTTGCTTTTTATATACAATCTTAATACATACCCCATTGCATCACATTCTGTGACATACTAGTACTTCTGAAATCGACTTTAGTGAACGACAATTAACCACTGCTGCAGCAAAAGTTTAAATTGTATATAATTGAATTACTATTTATTAAGCTACTTTATTTTCATCGGATTAATGGTGTGAGAAAGGATAGGCTTGAAAACAGGATCAGATTCCAGATTTGAATATGGATGTTCTTGAGGTTTTTACTAAATTAGCTATGATAAAGCTTGCAGATACTTGTTTTGATCCCATAAGCATGAATAAAATTCTTCAAACCTTAGGGAGTAAAACAGGTTAATAAGTAAGGGCTAGAGATAGACAATTTTTACATGGAGGAATCCCCACTAGCTAAGGAACAGAATTTTCTGTGATTACCTCCTTTGCACAAATATCATTCATATAATTTCAGTTAAACAATTAAATTGAAAAACAAGTCAGAAACAGAACAAAAAAAAACGTCTAAATGCCTAACAATGGGAGGACAAAGTGCAAATATTTTGGTGACACTTTAATAACTTAAAGTTGACTAATTCTGTGCTCCGTCTCCTGCACTGAGTACACAAACTGTTTCCCTCTGTGCCCTCTGTTCTTCCCTCATCTCCAGGAACCGTGTCTCTTCACACCAGACGCCGTACTGGGAATAGGCAGACAGAAAGAGGAGTGTTAGGTAAGCGCTCGGCTATCCAGCACGCAGACATGCACAGATGCACTAATGATTGAGGGCCGACCCGGTTCTCCTCTGCAACAGGTCATGCGAGACAAACAAAGAGAGTGTGCTGGAGAACATGCAGCTCGGTTCCGCGGGCTTAGCTGCGGGTGGCTGTGGCAGGTGCGGCAATGAAAAGCAGCTCCAACAGCTGCCTTGACGTCTTACATAAAATGTCACAGAAGAATGTCCAGGATGCATCACAGAGGGATTATGATTAGTCTCAGGGACATGTGTGATGCACCATGTGTGGCTGATGTGCATTACAGCTATCTGGTTTCCGTCCTTTAGTATTTCTCCTAAACATCCAAGACAAAAATAATGTAATTCTGACATAACTGTAGTACAACTCAGTTATGCTTATACCTATGATACACTCATTTTCCTAGGCTCACAGGACCAGGACAATGCACCAGATACAATGTCTCCTCATGGGCCCATAAGGTACAGAGTAGCTTTAGAAATAGTGGTTTCAGAAAAGGAGATGGACAGGTCGTCCAGATTGCTTGCAGATGTTTTTGGAAATGGGACTAAATATGGGGGCAGGGCGAGCAGTGGAGGGGGGGGGGGCTCCTGGGTTCTGCAATGGACATCAGAGGCTGCTGGTTGGGGGGCAGTGATTTAGCAACAGGGGGTTGGGGCGGGGGTGTACAGGTGAACTATTGTCAGACGGTGATTTGTTAAAGGCTGGAATCATTAGCTTCACTCTAAAACATGTCATTTATTTTAGCGTTTTCATATTCACTCTCCACCATCACGTCTGACCAATATGTAACTCCATCCATATTATCAAAGGGCTCCTCAGTTTTCCCGTGCAAAATCTGGCGTATTATTAATCTCTACATAAACGACATTGTTACATACATCCATCTTTCATAACCACATCCACTGCAGAGTCACTATGACCCTGGAAGCTGTCCCAGAAAACAGAGGATACCAGACCATCTCCAGCGAAACTTTCAGACACTAATGGCAATTTAGAGACAAGAATTCACCGAAGCTTTTTTGGATTACAGGAGGAAACCGGAGTACCTGGATGAAACCCACGGAAACCAAGGGAGAACATAAGAGAACTCTAGACACACAATGCCTTAGTGGGATTCAAACCCACAATGCTGAGAATGTAACCTACAGCTTTACCCAATGAGCCACCACTGCTAAATTTGATCCAGATTTTCATTATTTCTAATGAGTCAGTTTCAGAGAGCAAAGGTAAACAATAGACTCAAGGACAGAAAAGTTGACTTTGAATTGGGTCATTGTACAGTTGTTTTAGTTCTGGATTTTTTTAAAAAAGTGAAATTCTCTTGAGTTCTGGGCCTGATTGATTTTATGATTCTGTTGGTTTTGTAATATGTGTAACCATATTCTTACAAATGAAATTTAAATAGTTTACATTTTACATTGCGCAATGATACATGAAGAAGCAATAATTTACAATAAGTACATGCATACGTTTCTAGTGTGCGTATTTATCATAGAATTCTGCTTGAGTGTGAAGGGTCACAAACATTTACAGCCTGGGACCCCAAAGGTTAGAAAAGAAGTGGAGATTAAAGGACACCCTTTTTCTTTAGAATGTAGACTTTCTAAACATCTGTCCATTGTATGGGTAGCTACATGGTGTAGTACTTAGGACACGGCACCATTAAGCACACAAACCTTAGTTAACCCTTTAAATACTGGATATTCTACTGATAAGCAGAAGTTCACTGTTAAAGTTTGATATTGCTATTATACAATAATAACAATTATGTAAGTATGTAATAAAAGCTGCTGCCACAGAGGCCAGAAATATAATAAGAGAGCAGTTTGTATCTACATGAATATTGCACTCAAAAAAATGAAACTTAAAAATTGACCTTAAGCACTCACTCTACCATAATGTGGTACACACAAGGCTTTGTTAGAATACAAAAGAAATTCATTGATTACAGCCATTCTAGGAAATAATTCCTGAAAGAAGGAATGTAAGAAATTACAGTTTTCCAGGTTGTCGGAAGTTCATTAATCATCTCTAAATAGTGTGACAGGAAGTAGGCACTGGCAGATCCAGTGTCTGGTACTGCACTCTCAAATCCAGTGTCTGGTACTGCACTCTCAAATCCAGTGTCTGGTACTGCACTCTCAAATCCAGTGTCTGGTACTGCGTTCTCAAATCCAGTGTCTGGTACTGCACTCTCAAATCCAGTGTCTTATTAAAGAAGGTGGCTCAGGCATAGAAATAAAAGGATGCCATCCTGTTATGGGATTACTATGTATAAATGTGCTTAGTCACAATCTAATAAACAGCTGAATCCTGCAGGGAAGATATTCCAGCAACCACAATGAATCCTTCAGCGAACAGCATACATTACAATGAGGTTACCCGCAATTAAAATTTACCACACAGGGCAATTAGGTTTTGCAGGGGCGTCAAGATCTCATATGCTTCTAAAGCTGTGTTTCCCAAGCCGGTCATAAAGCTCCCCTTTCAAGGCAGACTTAATGACAAGCAGTCAGATCGAGTTTCAAACTTAAGTGAGTGAATACATATGGACCAAAACTTTAGGACATCTGCCACACTTTGTGGGACAGAACTACAGTGTCTCTCCATACGGAACCCAAACATCAAATATGGTGTCCTTGCACAACCTCACCTTCACATTTTAGGAAACAAGCATACATTTTTGAAACAAAATGTTTTTCTGGTTCTCGTATAGCAAAAAACATCATTTACACGACATACAATATATACAAAACATCACTGATTAATTTATGCAAGGCATGATAAAATGATACAAGACCCTACTAGTCTCCTTACATCAATCAATCAATAAACCAACCAATTAATCAATCATTCAAATAATTAGTTTATTAATTGTATTAAATTAAATTAAATTTTATTTTATAGGATAATGACTAGGAAGGTTTTATTTGTCCCAGTGTTGAACATCCAGTCATCTATACAAGTTTGTTCCTCATTGTGTTATGGCTGAAAACCCCTCCCCTTAAATATCAGAAATGGCCACCATTAAGTATCACGTTAAAATTCAGCTAATTATATCTCCTGATATCCTGTACAGAATAGTTAACATGGCTTTCAACTGTCCCTTTAACGTAGTATTTCTGATACTGTTGTCATTAGCTTCCACTAAGTAGTGACTCACAAGAGAAGACTAAACAAGCAATTAATCATTCGATGTATGATATTTGTAACATTCTTTGATTGTTTCTAAACATTACTGCCAATATTCATGTAGTAATTTTTAAAGCGTAATGTGAAAAATGCTAGGTGTTCCCATAATTTTGGCCACTAGTGTATATATACATAAATATAAAACATATGTCGAATATAAACCAATGAAGGTCGTCTACAAAATGAAAAATTATCCCGAGTCAACAGCAAGGATGACATTAATATCCCCAACAGTTGGGGTCGGAGGAATCAGATCGGCCATGTTAGTTTGTACCACCACAACCTCTACTTTGGTCAGACGTGACGTCAAGTCAAGTCAGGACTTATTTATATAGCACATTTAAAAACAGCCCCAGCTGACCAAAGTACTGTGCAATTTGTCAAAAACATGCAAAAAAAAACCCTACAGATATAAAAGATTATGGTTATAGATTCAACGTGATCCTTTGCGTAGAAGAAAAGTTAAAACAGAAGACTCACAATAATAGTAATATGTCATCAAGAAGCATTTTCTATATCATATATTGCTGTTTGAAGCTACTTGTGGGATTTTTAAAACAAGTAGTGTGACCGTTGTTGTTTTTAAGTGGAGCTGGACAAGATGTCCAGATCGACCAGCTGATTTGACAAGATCCACCACTGCTATTTTACCAAATGCTCGGAGAACTGAATATGGTATAAAGATGTTTCTTTTTTACAGTTACATAAATTATTACTTGGGATTTTGTTTTCTGGCAACCAACAACCTAAGTATCATAAGGACCACATGCAATTTACGAGTACTTGTTACAAAGCCGTACTGAGATCTGTCCGTGTACTAAGAACGCTTAATTTCAACAAGAGCACATGTTAGTGTCATCAGCTCTTATTTATTTGCTTAATGTTACACATATGGATAATATCAGCAATTTGTCCAAATGAGATGCAAAGAGTTTCTTTGGACTTCAATCATATTTCTCACAAGAAGCACTGTTGCAACATTATCAAAAATAGTTTTTCTTCTTCCTTTAAAATAAAGTATTAGATTATTTTGGTTTTCTTGTGACTTTTGCATTTACAGTCGCAGTCTGTGGAAATCCTGAAAATAATACATATTGATTGCATAATATTTACAGACAAGACACCGTTAATCACTCTTTTAAGGTCAACTTTGATTATAAAACAACAAATGTGAATGTAGGACTTTAAATTTCAGGTCTCATTTTATGACTCAGATCACTTCCTATTTCAGGGATACGTATCATAAAAGACCAAAATGTTTTTTTTTTCAATTGCCTGAATCACAAATAAAGTAACACCAAAATACTTCACATTTCTCATATACTGTTGTGGTTTGATTAGTTAAGTGTGAGTGTAAATGTACCTATGAACTTTACTCTTTCCTTGTAGCAGATTGACAATGACCAAGTTACAGTACTCTGGTGAGATTAGCTGCCACAGTTCCAAGCCCAGTGTCACACAGAAGACAGTCAGATGTTTCCTACTGCATTTGCCAGTCTTGAAAGAAAGAATAAATATCACCTGGAAAAAACCTTCCCTTTCAACAACCTGAATGTTCAAGGCTGATCTTCCCCTGAAAAGACGGGAAAAGATATCCCAAAGGGAACATTCCCAGAACCTCAGCCAATGTTACGTGATGGTCCTCTCAAAGTTGCCATAGATCATTCTTACTGTAATGTTAATTTCAATGTTTTACATTTTAACAAAGGTTCAGTCAATGTCAGCATGATAACATGTTGAAATTTTTTTATAATAAAGTATTATCTTACATAAGTTCATAAGGCAACATACAATCCAGCTTTACACACATGACCTTTGATATGTAAAGTAACAGTGTTTCAGGCCCTTCATTTGTCTGTATATTATTACTCTTAGCTGTAGTAGTACGATAAGATAACGTTCATGGAACATCAGGAAAACAGGACACTTTAAACATGTCTGTACCTTAATCGTAAGATTCGGTAAAAGTTCCTGGAATGAAAAATTGTGTAAGCGGGGTAGATTTTTGTGCACTGTGTACTAGCTATGAAATAGGAGTCACGAGGCTCTTGCTTGGGTTGCTGTGCACCACTGAAATTGTTCGGCTAAAGCATGAAAATGTGTTTTGGTCTTCAAAATATATACAAGTGGAGTTACACATCTGAGGCATTTTCTGTCCATTTACCATACAAAATCCCTTCAAGTAAGCCATTATGTTTGGCTTGCTCACATTGTGGTGATATAAACGCTCTTGAATGCCACACTAACTGTGGCCTACTCAGTGTATATGTGAAAGAGGGGAGAAAGTAAAATAAACTTTCATTTGGCTGATATTGCCCCATGGTTTCCAAGCATCTCACTGTTTATACTGGCATGCATGCCCAGTTCGACAGGTCTGACAGTATGCCCACTATGAGCCACTGTTTTTGGTTGCGGTAGGTAGTTCCAGAATAAACACATGACCTCAGGGCCCTCTGGTGCTTTGTAGACCATCAGGCCAGTGTAAACAAGGACAGAGAGGTTAAGGGAATCCCATTGGGCCATATGAGGCATAAAGAACAGCAACAAGTCCCAATGACCCAGAATGATTTCTATATGTGTTAACTGAATGTACACTATAAAGATAATTGCATTATTATATAGTTGCTTTGCCCACATGTGTTGGCTGGATCTAACAGCTGTGATCACTAATTGTGGCACAAAGTCCCCCGGCAGTGTAGCAAATTAGCATTGTCTTGCCAAAAGTCAAAGGGATTAATAGGGCAGGGTATCTCATGCTACAAAATTACCGTGTTATACATTCTTTATGTCTTCCCTTTTAAAACAGCAATTTTCAGAAAATGTTACAAAAGCTAAACCACCAGATCACCAGTTACCAGTTTCTTGTCTATCTGCTGGGACCTGAAACCCCTTCCTTTTTACAGTTCATAGTACTCTACAGTCTACAGCTACCTGTATTTTATACTTTATGAATTTTAAATTCAATACTTTTCACATTGCAAATTATTTAGTCTGGTGACTTAGTTGCGTACATTGATATTTACACTGGTATTGCCTAAAGGGACATAGAAGTGAGGGTCCCAAGCAGGGGCGGATTAACGCACAGGCTAGATATGGCTTAAGCCTAGGGGCCCCACGTGTGCCAGCCTGCAAGGGGGCCCCTACTGGCGCGGAGGGGGGCGGGGTTGGGGGGGCCCACAGACTACTGTAGCCTAGGGGCCTCTGTGCACCTTAATCCGCCCCTGGTCCCAAGGCCCTAACAGTGACATCACTCTGCTACCTACAGGGTTTGAACCAAACAACCTTCTGACCACAGGTGCAGAGCACAATCAAGCCAGCTGCCCCAGATACACTGCTCCAGATTTTTTCATCTGACAGATTTTGTTACTATGCATTGACACCAGAAAAACTGATTGTCATAGTTTTTTTTTATTATTATTCCTGTTCCAATTGTAATTTGTCAGTTGACTTTCTTGTTTTAACTTTCTCTTTGCAATGTAATAGAAAATATTTCATTAATCGTTTTAGCTAGATATTAATTCATAGATCCTGATTTAATTTTGAGTGAATAGTATGTTACTCTGACTATCTAACAATACCAACAGAAAAAAGTGTTCCGGGAAACTTAATTACCAGACGTGCTTCAGACATACTCCTGCAGAATATGCAGTTCTGGTGGGACAATTACCTCTCACAAAATTCAAAAGGAACAAAGACAGACAGTAGAAGTATTTTGAATTTTAGATCAGTTGTTCTCTTGTTCTTATCCACCAATGAACAATGAAACCACATCAACAAACTGGTTTCAATTGCCACTGTGATACTTTAATATTATTGTTTTTAGATTTTTTTCCACTCAGCCATGCAATATACGATCAGCGCTACATCAAAAAGCAGCCTTCTGGTACCCAGATAGGGTGACAGAGTCTTGAAGGAATCTATTAACAGAATCAGTATCTGGGCAAAATTATAACCTTTAAAATAAGCAATGAGAACAAATGTTAGTGATTATTTTTCAGACATTCACAGTTTTTCTCAATTGCTGTGGCATATTTTGTGACGCATACCTAACATTCCCAAGACTATAAGAGCATTTCTCAAACCATTCCATGCCTATAGCAAAGCACTGTTATACTGTAGCTGCAACAGCCTGTACTTCCCCAAACAATTACCTCATGTCTCAAAAGCAAATTATTCCACCAATGAATTAATCAGTGCCGCCAAAATGAAAAGTACAGTCAGCATCGTTTTAACCAAAATGCTTAGATATATTGTCAGTATGCCAGTGTATTTCTGCTCCGGAAGTCCACAATGCTCAATGATAGTCAGTTCCCACTTTCTCATTGTCACCGACTCATAGTTTTTCTTTGGCAAACTGATACTTATTCATGTCAAAGACACCAGCTTCAGCACTGCAAGGCACTGCACTACAGTATGTAAAGTTCACTGGCAAGAGACAGCACTCGCATGCACTTCTTCACATCTCCAGACACAGTACAATAGCAAACAAAAAAAGCCACACAGCACTGTGGCAATACAAAAACAACGAAATGAAAACAAAACCATGTACTGTGTGAAGCAAAAACAAAAATGCTATATCACTACAGTTTATGGAATGTATTTTTAAATAGTTTTGAAAGCTTAGTTAACTGTTTCGCATTTGCTGGCTAACACAGTGATCACATGCATATATAGTTTTGGGTGTAAAATTATTACAGTGGGAAACTACATAATCTATTTTGACCAACAAGACGAAAGCAAATGAAAATTGTGCCAAATGATGACAATTGTACAAAACGATTTCCACATATGTACTAAAACATTTGGAAATTTGTGCGAACCAGTGGGAAATGATGTTCTGCTGTGCAGATGTGACATTGTGGTATGGGGATTACACTTGTTGTTTTGCAAATGTTAATCGTCATTTGAGAAATGCTCCAAAGCAATTGAGGAAAACACTAACGGCAGTTCAAGCGAAAGCAAATTAGTATGGCTTACTGAACAAATGACTGCCTTGCCTTGTTCCTTGGCCGATGCTGCTCACTGAACTACCTGCTGGAAGAAACGGAAACACAAGTTTACTTGTTCTGCATGCAAGTCTGTGGCACAGCATCACTTCTCAACAAAGCCTACTGCTCTTCCAGGAGACTGACTTAATACATTTTACACAGATGCCAGTGTGTAGCTGTAAGCAGTTTCCCGTACTGAAAGCCAGACAGATGCACCCTGGGAGTCTGGAGGTGTTCTTTCCATTTGTCCTTCCCTGCCCTGCATTCCGAAGGCATTTATTTCCCTCTGTATTTTGGCAAGCTAAGGCAAATAAAAGCTAGGCAACCGATTTCAACTGATCTCAGCCATGATCAGCAATATCCGAGCTATAGAGCTATCCAGCTATAAATCAGCAATAGCTAAACAGACAAGACAGACAGACAGACAGACAGACAGACAGACAGATAGATAGACAGATAGATAGATAGATAGATAGATAGATAGATAGATAGATAGATAGATAGATAGATAGATAGATAGATAGATAGATAGATAGATATGACTGCCTGGCAAGAGTATTTTTTAAAATTGAATAAAAACGCAAACCTAATCGCTCGCTGAACTGGATGCATATGATCAGAAGTTTAAATAGAAAAGTTTATACTGGCTTATTGTGTTGGGTCAACATATCAGCAGCTTATCCTTCCTCCACTCGTAGTCATCCTCACCTCCATCCTTACTCACTCCCAAGCAGCCCTTCAGCTCCAGGAGAGAAATGGCCTTATCATTATTCAGGTCACAGTAGTCAATGAACTTGCGGGCACACTTCTTGGGTTTGGCTTTCTTCTTCACGTAACGCCTGAAGGGCTTAAGCTCTTTTTTATTGATGTCACTGCTTGCGTTGTTATCCAGCTGGGCAAAGTACCAGTGAACCACACGTTCCTCCAGCGTGTGGGTGGGGTCCGGTTCCGCAAACCTGGGCAGAAAGTAGAACGCATATTAAAACGACGCTATCATGGAACATTTGCTAATTAAATAAAGCAAAGCAATATATAGCAAGGCTTTATCAATGGCAGTGCTCCATGCTCGTGGGTCTGTTGAGTTTTAGAATATTGTATCACTTACCTCCCACCACCAGAGGGGGTGGGTGAGTTTACAGCCTGTACCATGTCTGTGGTAAGTGCATCCAACAAAGTGGTAATGAATTCTACTTTCTTTGCCTCTGGGCAACCTGTCATAAGTGTGAAAGGAATTGCAAAAAAGAGTGAATAATTTTGCTTCATCGAAGGAACAGCAGCTTGATCTTTTCTCAGTGGGTAGCCTCTGGAGGATTTGCAGTTCCCGTGACTCTAATTTGTTCTTAATTCAGGGGTTCCCCTTGTCTCCAGGCTTTCTATAGTTTGATTTCTGGAGTATGCATGTCATTCCCATGTTCACATTAAATGTCTTTTGGATTGTCCTGTATATGTAAAGTATCAACTATGGGAAAAACAAATATTTTAATATTTTATACATGCTTAGTAAAACATATACTTTACCCAAATATTAGATTCTTTGCATATGTAAAGGCACATGACACATCATACGATACAGTGTAGACAGAGATTAGAAAGAAAGAAAGAAAGAAAGAAAGAAAGAAAGAAAGAAAGAAAAGGCAGAGGACTGGTATAACCGAGCAATGTTGGAATTTTGCAGCCTTGTTAAATTTTATGACACAATGGCAAACACTAAGGGTAACGTGTTTTAATTGCCCCGATGCATGTTTTTTATAGCATGTTGGACGAGCGCAAACTTTTCCACCTTAATTGTGTTTGTTAAAAAGACACTTCAAACACTGTAACATAATAAAGTAAGCATCTAATTTTGTAGGTTTCTTAACCATTAATTCACTCTCCAGCTATGAACCACCTAATACCAACACCGTTCCTTCCTTTATGTTGACTGAGCGTGTTTTGCGTGATCAAACAGCAAAACAGGTCAATCCAATTAGCATCTCCCGAAATACAGCAACGCAGAAACACAGTGCTTCAGTGCATCTCTATCCAAGTGTTAAATTAGTCATTACAGTAATGAAATGATTGTGGTGAATATACCCTGGATGGGACATCAAGTATAAAAAACCTCTCTTGTTTTCCTTCTTGAAATTATTCCTTTATCTAGCATGGAGAGTGTCGAGCTATAGCGGGTGACTGCCTATCATTTGTTTTCCCATGATGTCCATCTATGTTTTGCCGGTTCTGAAGTTATAACGGCCCCCCCGAGCCCCACATCCCTCACACATGCCGTAAATCTGCCACACTTCTGCAGGGGAGTGCAAACTCGTGCATCACTCTGCAGATTTAACAGATTTTTGCATTAAATAAGCATTATAAGTAACAACTTTAAATCACGGGTAAAGAGCTCAGCTACGAAAACAAAGTCAATGGTAATGAGGCTAGGGGTGTATCACCAAATTATGGTATCAAAAAGTATTACATGGGAAATGTGTAAATACATTCTACTTCCCTCTAAAATAGGACGACATCAAAAAATGCCTGTAAAAATGCCTCTGAAGTAAGTTAAGCAACTTGAAGTTTAGGCAGAATCATTCTGATGTTTTCTAGTGCTGAGAGTTCAGTGTCTAACAGCTTTTTTTGCTCCATAATTATTCAGCACCCGAACTTGTGAATTTTGGGCATTGTTCGATTCCCTGCTTTACCTTGCAAATCTCTGTCCCGGAATGGATCGTCCGTTTCAGAGGCCCGCGACCGAGCACCACTGTCACAATCAGGCATCTGGTATCTAATGTCATGATAGAGACAGGGACAGGGAGGCAATATGGACATTGGTCACGAAGTGGTGTGCAGAAGGGGATGACATGGGGTATGGCCCAGGATCCAGAGTGTAGGGACCTATAATGTGATCAGATTTACATGACTGAAAAAACACAGTTCTCCCTGTTGTGATACCATACCTTTCAAAAAAAAATGAGTGAGTGATTTTTTTCCCCCAAATAATTTTTTTTCTCGAATACTAGATTAGAATAAAAATTAAAGGCAATTCTGCACTCCTTGATTCATTCCATATTTTTTGATAATGTGCCAAAACAACACAAAAATATAACCTATTTTGCTTGACAATGTAAGATTAAAATGACATAACAAATTTTCTTGTACTTTAAAAATCACAATTGTACCTTCTTCACACTTCTTGGTTTGTTTCTTTGAAACAAACAAAAAAAATATCTCTGAAATGCAGACCTCAGAATTCCACAAACAGACATTAGGTGCCAGTCTGAGTTTCTTGATCATATAGCCATCAATCTTCTATCCACTCACCCTGGTCAGGGTCAGAGGACGAGGCCTGGAGCCTATCCCAGGCAGAACAGGATACAAGACTGAGGTACAAGATCCTGGACAAGATGTAAGTCCATCAACACATAGGCGCATATATACACTACGGTCTTGGAGACAGCAAGTCATCTAAATGCATGTCGTTAGACTGCCAGAGGAAACATACAGAGACACACTGAGCAAAGGTGAGGTTCAGACTGCCAACCTCTAACTATGTGAAGCAACAGCACCAACCCCAGAGCTGAGCCAAAATCATGAGGTTCAGACTGCCAACCTCCAAACTATGTGAAGCAACAGTACCAACCCCAGAGCTGAGCCAAAATCATGCACATATATTTCAAATAAATTTAGCCTGGATAGGTGAGCAGGTGAAAAAGTCAAGAAAGCAGCAAGATGTTAGCCTAGTAAATTTATAGTCTTATATTTTTTATGTTATCCAGGGACATGTTGGCAGCCTCAAATAAGTGAACAGGGGCTACATTAGAGTTGGCTAGTGCTTCAGTGTGTTGGGATACTCCGTTGTTGTGGGAATCATAAAGATTTCGAATACTTTATAATTACAAGTTGAGCAATCTGTGGTAAACCCCCGTGGGTGGTCCATTCTCCCTCTTTTTTTCTTTCTAAATGCTCTTGGATTCCTCATGAATCGTGAACATTCAGCAGATTTCTCTTTCTCTGATTCCTATCCATAAACCCTTCAATTCCATTCTCAGAATTCCATTCCATTCCATCCTTCATTTCTCATCTATATCGTTACCTGGTGGAAGTCCCAGGGATTGGCCGCCCAGTATCCACCATAACACACCAGCAGTAACCTGTGGACTGGTGACACTGGACTGGTTTGTACAGGCCTCCGGGCCCGCAGTCTGGAATGAAAATGGCCTGTCTTGAGTTCTGATGATCTTCATCCAGTGCACTCTGTCTCTCCTGGTCACAAGAAGGAACTTTCTCTAAAATCATGAGAAACACACTCAATGTGGAGACACAACGCAGGACATGGACAAATTTAATTACCACACCCAGTATGTGAAATATAGTAAAATACATTTTATATATATATATATATATATATATATATAGATATAGATATAGATATATAGATATAGATATAGATATAGATATAGATACACACACACTCACATACACACATAATTTTGAATATATATAATTCAAAGATACCCAAGCAGACAGATATCTTTAAAAGAAAAATATTAAAATTGAGCCAAACCAAGTATGGAGGTGAATTAACACAGCATGAACTTTTTTTTTAAACACTGTATTGTTCAAGGATTTCCTAGCAATAACATTCTATTCCAATTATCTGATATTATCTATTTAATACCAGGCTGACATTTGAAAACAGTTTCATTTTGCAAGTTGTTCTGTTGTAATCTATTTATATTCAAACCCATTTAGTCTGCCGCTCAGCCTTACATGTTGGGATAAACACAACAAAACCTCCTACTGAAATTCAGACTATTTTATTGTAGTGAAGTGTGCTTTGCCACATCAAGTCTGTTTACAAGATATTACCCTGAAACAACCCGGTTACGGCTCCCTGTTTAACACAGTCAGTTCGAACAGAGACTAGCATGTCTTTCATAGCCATACTGTATACTACTAAAAGATAACTACAATGAATAGCACATTATAACCATCTCTAAAATATTGCACTTGTATAAATTACAAATCTGTCTCATCTTATAAACTCCAACCAAACTATCACAGCAGATATATCCCCTAACTATAATTTGGGCTGTCAGAAGAGATTAACTTTCCTTTATTTTTAAACTGTACATTTTTTTCTGTCAATTTTTGTCTGGAGGAATGGAAATACTTCTAAAGGAATGTAGTGGACAGTGGTCCCAAACCACCCTGGTACTGTAAGAGAATATAGGAATTTCCCTCCATTTTTGTCCATCACACAATAATAATAATACCAATATTGACAAAACTGGAAAGTTCACTGTTGCCCCTCAGGGCATTTGTGGTACCTCAGAAGGTGCCTATTTGCAGAGTTCGTCTGCTGTCAGAGGCATCATGCCCACTTGTGTTTCCAGGAAGGCACTGGGCTCAAGTGTTTGTTTCAAGGCCTCCCAACTCCTGTCAAGGCTCCTTCATTTCCAAATTATTTAGCACTGTTTATAATACAGAGGGCACAGTGGCGCCAGGCAGCTGACATCCTCAAATGAAAATTGTTTTTATATATATATATATATATATATATATATATATATATATATATATATATATATATATATATCCACACAAATAAAAAGGGTTGAATTCTCAGTATTTTTTTCCTTTTCATTCTTTTCTGGTGTATGAGACTCCGCTCACCTTTCATGTTTTTCCTTTCTGTTTAGCACCATAGCAGATGATGGAATTCCATAAATAGACAGTAAGTATTACAACGGGAACCAAAATTAGAAAACGTGGAAATTAATTAAATTCTCTGTGCTTGTTTTCCTTCTTTACTGTCATTGTTAACGTTCCCAGGTTCCCATAAAAGGTCCCACATAACGTGAGTCAATGAGTAATTATATTTATTTATGGCTCATAATTCAATAATAAAAACTTTTCAGCTCCGTCCAAGGAAACCTGCTGAGCTCACACACACCATTCGTGGAAGATTCCAGTAAAGATTCCTTTCTGCTCTCAGCAGGGCACACATTTGCCATCCTGCATGCCGCTTATTTTTTCTTCTCCATACAAAGGATATCTATGATAGTCCAGGTTCTCGTGCCAGAGCCCTGCAAGACTATCTTCACTGAAAAGAGAATCTGTCTACCTTTTTCTTTTCCTTAATCTTTAAACATACTTTATACTTTTTTCAAAGACGGATCCGGTCTTGGATGCAGGCTGAGTGCAATGGAAAGGCATACTGTATTCGCTTATTCGCAAGTACTTTAATTCAGCCCATTAGATTTTGATAAAGGTAGACTAAATAATGTATTCCTGCAGCTATTTGTCCCAGAGTAGCACAGGTCCAATTTCACCTTTTCAGGACTGGCAAAGACAGGTTTAGAATACAGCATCTTGATTCCCAGCCAAATGTACCCTTTAGGACAACAGTTGAAACCCAGTGAAGTGACGACATCTAATCCCCCAAATGCCCCCCCCCCCCNTCGAAGGAACAGCAGCTTGATCTTTTCTCAGTGGGTAGCCTCTGGAGGATTTGCAGTTCCCGTGACTCTAATTTGTTCTTAATTCAGGGGTTCCCATGGGCTCCAGGCTTTCTATAGTTTGATTTCTGGAGTATGCATGTCATTCCCATGTTCACATTAAATGTCTTTTGGATTGTCCTGTATATGTAAAGTATCAACTATGGGAAAAACAAATATTTTAATATTTTATACATGCTTAGTAAAACATATACTTTACCCAAATATTAGATTCTTTGCATATGTAAAGGCACATGACACATCATACGATACAGTGTAGACAGAGATTAGAAAGAAAGAAAGAAAGAAAGAAAGAAAGAAAGAAAGAAAGAAAAGGCAGAGGACTGGTATAACCGAGCAATGTTGGAATTTTGCAGCCTTGTTAAATTTTATGACACAATGGCAAACACTAAGGGTAACGTGTTTTAATTGCCCCGATGCATGTTTTTTATAGCATGTTGGACGAGCGCAAACTTTTCCACCTTAATTGTGTTTGTTAAAAAGACACTTCAAACACTGTAACATAATAAAGTAAGCATCTAATTTTGTAGGTTTCTTAACCATTAATTCACTCTCCAGCTATGAACCACCTAATACCAACACCGTTCCTTCCTTTATGTTGACTGAGCGTGTTTTGCGTGATCAAACAGCAAAACAGGTCAATCCAATTAGCATCTCCCGAAATACAGCAACGCAGAAACACAGTGCTTCAGTGCATCTCTATCCAAGTGTTAAATTAGTCATTACAGTAATGAAATGATTGTGGTGAATATACCCTGGATGGGACATCAAGTATAAAAAACCTCTCTTGTTTTCCTTCTTGAAATTATTCCTTTATCTAGCATGGAGAGTGTCGAGCTATAGCGGGTGACTGCCTATCATTTGTTTTCCCATGATGTCCATCTATGTTTTGCCGGTTCTGAAGTTATAACGGCCCCCCCGAGCCCCACATCCCTCACACATGCCGTAAATCTGCCACACTTCTGCAGGGGAGTGCAAACTCGTGCATCACTCTGCAGATTTAACAGATTTTTGCATTAAATAAGCATTATAAGTAACAACTTTAAATCACGGGTAAAGAGCTCAGCTACGAAAACAAAGTCAATGGTAATGAGGCTAGGGGTGTATCACCAAATTATGGTATCAAAAAGTATTACATGGGAAATGTGTAAATACATTCTACTTCCCTCTAAAATAGGACGACATCAAAAAATGCCTGTAAAAATGCCTCTGAAGTAAGTTAAGCAACTTGAAGTTTAGGCAGAATCATTCTGATGTTTTCTAGTGCTGAGAGTTCAGTGTCTAACAGCTTTTTTTGCTCCATAATTATTCAGCACCCGAACTTGTGAATTTTGGGCATTGTTCGATTCCCTGCTTTACCTTGCAAATCTCTGTCCCGGAATGGATCGTCCGTTTCAGAGGCCCGCGACCGAGCACCACTGTCACAATCAGGCATCTGGTATCTAATGTCATGATAGAGACAGGGACAGGGAGGCAATATGGACATTGGTCACGAAGTGGTGTGCAGAAGGGGATGACATGGGGTATGGCCCAGGATCCAGAGTGTAGGGACCTATAATGTGATCAGATTTACATGACTGAAAAAACACAGTTCTCCCTGTTGTGATACCATACCTTTCAAAAAAAAATGAGTGAGTGATTTTTTTCCCCCAAATAATTTTTTTTCTCGAATACTAGATTAGAATAAAAATTAAAGGCAATTCTGCACTCCTTGATTCATTCCATATTTTTTGATAATGTGCCAAAACAACACAAAAATATAACCTATTTTGCTTGACAATGTAAGATTAAAATGACATAACAAATTTTCTTGTACTTTAAAAATCACAATTGTACCTTCTTCACACTTCTTGGTTTGTTTCTTTGAAACAAACAAAAAAAATATCTCTGAAATGCAGACCTCAGAATTCCACAAACAGACATTAGGTGCCAGTCTGAGTTTCTTGATCATATAGCCATCAATCTTCTATCCACTCACCCTGGTCAGGGTCAGAGGACGAGGCCTGGAGCCTATCCCAGGCAGAACAGGATACAAGACTGAGGTACAAGATCCTGGACAAGATGTAAGTCCATCAACACATAGGCGCATATATACACTACGGTCTTGGAGACAGCAAGTCATCTAAATGCATGTCGTTAGACTGCCAGAGGAAACATACAGAGACACACTGAGCAAAGGTGAGGTTCAGACTGCCAACCTCTAACTATGTGAAGCAACAGCACCAACCCCAGAGCTGAGCCAAAATCATGAGGTTCAGACTGCCAACCTCCAAACTATGTGAAGCAACAGTACCAACCCCAGAGCTGAGCCAAAATCATGCACATATATTTCAAATAAATTTAGCCTGGATAGGTGAGCAGGTGAAAAAGTCAAGAAAGCAGCAAGATGTTAGCCTAGTAAATTTATAGTCTTATATTTTTTATGTTATCCAGGGACATGTTGGCAGCCTCAAATAAGTGAACAGGGGCTACATTAGAGTTGGCTAGTGCTTCAGTGTGTTGGGATACTCCGTTGTTGTGGGAATCATAAAGATTTCGAATACTTTATAATTACAAGTTGAGCAATCTGTGGTAAACCCCCGTGGGTGGTCCATTCTCCCTCTTTTTTTCTTTCTAAATGCTCTTGGATTCCTCATGAATCGTGAACATTCAGCAGATTTCTCTTTCTCTGATTCCTATCCATAAACCCTTCAATTCCATTCTCAGAATTCCATTCCATTCCATCCTTCATTTCTCATCTATATCGTTACCTGGTGGAAGTCCCAGGGATTGGCCGCCCAGTATCCACCATAACACACCAGCAGTAACCTGTGGACTGGTGACACTGGACTGGTTTGTACAGGCCTCCGGGCCCGCAGTCTGGAATGAAAATGGCCTGTCTTGAGTTCTGATGATCTTCATCCAGTGCACTCTGTCTCTCCTGGTCACAAGAAGGAACTTTCTCTAAAATCATGAGAAACACACTCAATGTGGAGACACAACGCAGGACATGGACAAATTTAATTACCACACCCAGTATGTGAAATATAGTAAAATACATTTTATATATATATATATATATATATATATATAGATATAGATATAGATATATAGATATAGATATAGATATAGATATAGATACACACACACTCACATACACACATAATTTTGAATATATATAATTCAAAGATACCCAAGCAGACAGATATCTTTAAAAGAAAAATATTAAAATTGAGCCAAACCAAGTATGGAGGTGAATTAACACAGCATGAACTTTTTTTTTAAACACTGTATTGTTCAAGGATTTCCTAGCAATAACATTCTATTCCAATTATCTGATATTATCTATTTAATACCAGGCTGACATTTGAAAACAGTTTCATTTTGCAAGTTGTTCTGTTGTAATCTATTTATATTCAAACCCATTTAGTCTGCCGCTCAGCCTTACATGTTGGGATAAACACAACAAAACCTCCTACTGAAATTCAGACTATTTTATTGTAGTGAAGTGTGCTTTGCCACATCAAGTCTGTTTACAAGATATTACCCTGAAACAACCCGGTTACGGCTCCCTGTTTAACACAGTCAGTTCGAACAGAGACTAGCATGTCTTTCATAGCCATACTGTATACTACTAAAAGATAACTACAATGAATAGCACATTATAACCATCTCTAAAATATTGCACTTGTATAAATTACAAATCTGTCTCATCTTATAAACTCCAACCAAACTATCACAGCAGATATATCCCCTAACTATAATTTGGGCTGTCAGAAGAGATTAACTTTCCTTTATTTTTAAACTGTACATTTTTTTCTGTCAATTTTTGTCTGGAGGAATGGAAATACTTCTAAAGGAATGTAGTGGACAGTGGTCCCAAACCACCCTGGTACTGTAAGAGAATATAGGAATTTCCCTCCATTTTTGTCCATCACACAATAATAATAATACCAATATTGACAAAACTGGAAAGTTCACTGTTGCCCCTCAGGGCATTTGTGGTACCTCAGAAGGTGCCTATTTGCAGAGTTCGTCTGCTGTCAGAGGCATCATGCCCACTTGTGTTTCCAGGAAGGCACTGGGCTCAAGTGTTTGTTTCAAGGCCTCCCAACTCCTGTCAAGGCTCCTTCATTTCCAAATTATTTAGCACTGTTTATAATACAGAGGGCACAGTGGCGCCAGGCAGCTGACATCCTCAAATGAAAATTGTTTTTATATATATATATATATATATATATATATATATATATATATATATATATATATATATATATCCACACAAATAAAAAGGGTTGAATTCTCAGTATTTTTTTCCTTTTCATTCTTTTCTGGTGTATGAGACTCCGCTCACCTTTCATGTTTTTCCTTTCTGTTTAGCACCATAGCAGATGATGGAATTCCATAAATAGACAGTAAGTATTACAACGGGAACCAAAATTAGAAAACGTGGAAATTAATTAAATTCTCTGTGCTTGTTTTCCTTCTTTACTGTCATTGTTAACGTTCCCAGGTTCCCATAAAAGGTCCCACATAACGTGAGTCAATGAGTAATTATATTTATTTATGGCTCATAATTCAATAATAAAAACTTTTCAGCTCCGTCCAAGGAAACCTGCTGAGCTCACACACACCATTCGTGGAAGATTCCAGTAAAGATTCCTTTCTGCTCTCAGCAGGGCACACATTTGCCATCCTGCATGCCGCTTATTTTTTCTTCTCCATACAAAGGATATCTATGATAGTCCAGGTTCTCGTGCCAGAGCCCTGCAAGACTATCTTCACTGAAAAGAGAATCTGTCTACCTTTTTCTTTTCCTTAATCTTTAAACATACTTTATACTTTTTTCAAAGACGGATCCGGTCTTGGATGCAGGCTGAGTGCAATGGAAAGGCATACTGTATTCGCTTATTCGCAAGTACTTTAATTCAGCCCATTAGATTTTGATAAAGGTAGACTAAATAATGTATTCCTGCAGCTATTTGTCCCAGAGTAGCACAGGTCCAATTTCACCTTTTCAGGACTGGCAAAGACAGGTTTAGAATACAGCATCTTGATTCCCAGCCAAATGTACCCTTTAGGACAACAGTTGAAACCCAGTGAAGTGACGACATCTAATCCCCCAAATGCCCCCCCCCCCCCATACCCCCATCCTCTGAGGACACCAGATGCTAATTAAAAGCAGACAAGCAGTAGGATTACTACAGAAATTTACTTCCAAAGAGCTGTCACTGTGAATCTCTGTCCTCCACACAGGCCCCTCAAACTGCTTACAATTTCTCCAAGAGAAAATGTTCAATAGGTGTTTTGTACAGACATTCAATCTTATATCTTACATTTTCTTTGCTAAAAATAGTAAAGACAGCATATCTGATTTCTTCTATAAAAACATGGTGCAAAAATCACCATCTTCTTGCAGGTAATACACAAGAATACCGATACTTGTGCTGAGAGCATTTTGAAACTGAAGTTGGTTTTGTATGACTGTCAAATTTTTTTCTTTTTACATCAGAAAGGAAGAACAGCAGGCTAACATTATGGCAGGATCTCATTTAAAGGGTCTATACTCATCCAGCCAACCGTCTTCCAGAACCACTGACCCAGCTGCGTAATGGAGGTATGCCTGAATCCTCTCTTAAGAAGCAGAGAGCCCAAGCCGAGGGCAATTCTGGACTAGGGTGACCACTTTCCCGGATTTTGTCCAGACAGTCCGGTTTTCCAGCCCTCTGTCCTACTTTTTGCCCCCTTGTCCTCTTTTTTTCCCTCCTTTTTCCTTGAGATAATGGCATTAAAAAATAATCGCAAGCACTGCCGTTCTCGGCTTCCGTACGCATACTTTACATCGTTATGGGCTATTAAAGTAAATAATGTATTCCAATTTCACCTTTTCAGGACTGGCAAAGATAGATTTAAAATACAGCATCTTGAATTTAGAACTTATTGAAATAACCTTTTCATTTGACGTACTTTAGCATATCAAACTTAATCCCTTAAGAGTTGTACTGCGTCAGGGGATTAAGTGAATAAATGAACATAGTTTTACGTAACTTTGTTGACTAATGTCGTTGTGTTTTGTCCTACCCAACGCCCCCCAACCCCAGCAACTTTCCAAAGGGCGTCCTACTTTTTGACCCTTTGTCCTCCTTTTGTAGGGTCATGCCAGTGGACACCCTACCCTAGACGGAATGCCAGTCCATCACAAGGCACACCCTCACGCAAACGGTTATAGACAAAGAGCAATTTGGCGAAACAAATGACTTATCTGCATATTTTTGGACTGTGGGAGGAGCCAGAATATCTTGTGAAAACCAATAGAAACCCTGGGAGATCATGCAAGCTCCAATCACACACAGAACAGGAATCCCAACCTCAACCATGGAAGAGTGAGGCCTCTTTGTAACCATGCTGCTCATTCTATATTCAGAACTTTAAAATATCTATGCTGACGTCCTCGACTGGTGCAAGCACAAGAGAGAAAGAGACAAATACAAATTTCCCTCCTTAGCTAGGAAGGATTTTAGCTTAGCTAAAGTGTACAGTATGCAAGCTTCTTTATTTTTCTTGATTTATGTGGAAAAACCTAAAACTGCCTGCCACCCGCTAGCCACACTACTATTTATGAACCTTTACTCAAACATAAAACTAGCAAAGATTGACAGAACTGATCACCCATTCCCCAAAGGTGCCATGGCCTTTTCAATATAAGTTATCAGGGGACAGAAAAAACTAAATAAATTATTCTGCTTAAAAGAGAGTGAAAAAGGACAAATGAAACGTGATCTGATGCTGTACATTTTCAGCTCACCTCACATGGTTTCTAATGAATCTTAAGCTTGAGATGAGTGGACTGTATGACCACTGGATCAGACACTACAGCTAAGTACAAAATAATGAATGGTTTGAAATCAGCAAAGATAATTTTAATGCTGCAGTTTTCTGGTATCTCAAGAGGTCCTTTTTCTTACTGTTATAAGAAGAGCTTTGTATTCGTAAAAGAAACAGTTTTAGTTTACAGTTGGTCAGACTAATTTCACGCACTCATAACTCGTTCTTAACTGATGTTGAATGATGCATCAATTATTGTTGGAGCTGAGCACCATCTGCACACAAAGAATGGGTCAGTAACTCAGTAAGTACCACATTTTCATCTGAGAAAATTAAACTGTATCACATAGTGTACAATAGCACCAATAAATACAAAAGCACCAGTAAATAGATGAAGAAAGTGGGACTTAAAGTCTTTTTCTAACTAGTACTTGTAGAGTAATGTTTTTGGACACCTAGAAAGAAATCTAGCTAATTTTGCTGCATATTGTTTGACACAGGCTACTCCTTTGGATGACTTCAACTTCTTAGAGAAGAACCTCTCATTTCAGCTTAATGCTTCTCTTACCTGATCTCCTGAAACTGGAGCTGTTCTGCTTGTTTTCTTTGTAGTCTAGCTGTTTGATCCATAAAGTTGGGGCGGTGATCTCTATACATGGGGGACAAGGATCTTTTATAGTCATCACACACATTCTGGGAAAACCCTGAATGGGTAAAGAAGCTTGTTGTGACTGTGATGTCACAGACAGGAAGACATATATTGTAATTACAAGTGCAAATTCTTAAATTTAACTAGCTTTTATTGGCATGATAATTTTAATAGCTTGTTTCATTACAAAGGAAACAAATACTTCATGTTTTTCCTTCTGTGTGCAAGTCGGGAAATCAGTCAGAATGTGTGAATTTACAGTTAAAAAGCAGTATTTAAAAAGCAACACTTTGTCTTCCTGTAGTGCAAGCTAAATCCTTGGGTTCCTTTAAATCAGAGCTAGATAAGATATTAACAACTCTGAGCTATTAGTTAAGTTCTCCCCAAGCGAGCTCGATGGGCCGAATGGCCTCCTCTCGTTTGTATAGTTCTTATGTTCTTATGTAATTATACAGTAACATTTCAACATTAAGGTATGCACATGAAAAAAATGCCCTAGTAAATATGGGGAATGTCTGATCTTTTTGATACTTCAAATTCGAGGCTTTTCCTTAATAAAATCAATGAACCTTCGTACCGTCGCCATCAGATACGACGTGTGTCTCCATTGTGGGCGTTGGCTTGGACCCATCATCTGGGTTGAGGGTGAGAAAGAAACGGAAAGAGACTACCATTATTGAGGTTAATACAATCTACTCTCCAGAACTGTTGAATGGTTGGGGTTTGCACATGGCCCGGCCAGGAGCACAGAGAAAAACAGACCGAGGAAGAGGAAGAGGTGTTTAGATAGTGAAAAGGTGAAGAGAGAGATTGGTGTAAAAGAAACCCTAATTCCAGAGCCACTATAATCCTCCCCTACTTCCCCCCTACCCACAAACATAGA